CAGGTATGAGACAACTTTGGGTAATAATCCAAGTTTTTGTTTATTAAACCTAAAAGCTCTTTTATTGAGGCAATTTTGGGTAATAATCCAAGTTTTTGTTGGCGGAGTATCTTGGCAGCCCATGATTTGATTTGTAGTGGTATATGGCGGATGGTTGGGAATGGAGATAATACGCTGATTTGGGGGCATCCGTGGCTTCCAGATGACCCGGACCCATTGATTCAGACAGTTATGCCACCAGAATTAGCAGGTTCAAAGGTTGCTGGTCTAATTGATCAACAAACCAAGTCTTGGAAAGAAAACATGGTCTAATTGATCAACAAACCAAGTATTTCAAAGTATATCAATGCAATATTATATAGGAGATGTTCATGCATAGGTAAATAAATGTTTAATTTGTTTATTTAAATCGGTAATTTAAAGTATATAAATGCAAAATAATATATGAGAGATTGATTATAATTGTCACTAAAATAAATGTTTGCAACTTTGTAATAACGCTAGTCTAAATACTTAGTCTAAAGTGATAGTCTAAATAAATACTACTTTTGATTTAAATTTCTTTAATTCTTCTTAATTCTCTTTTGGGTAGCATTATAATTATCTTCATCTTCAGTACATGTCATCTTTTTTGTTTTTGTTTTATTTATTTATTTATTGTAGTGTCATGTGCAATTGGGTTACTGGTGCTGCATAGACAATCGTTATGTTGTGGAACCGTGTCCACCTTGCAAGGTGGATACGATTCTAGATTCATATTTACTGAACTATATATGTTCAGAATTATAAAGTTATATATTCATAATTTTTGAACTTCATATTCATAATTATTGAACTCTATATTCACAATTACAGAACTTTATGTTCATAATTATTGAATTATATATTCATAATTATAAAGCTATATATTCATAATTTTTGAACTTCATATTCACAATTATTGAATCTCTATATTCATAATTACAGAATTATATGTTCATAATTATGTTCACAACTCTATGTTCATAATTATAGAACTATATGTTCATAATTTTTGAACTACATATTCATAATTATGAACAGTTTTGGAATCGTGTCTACCTTGCAGGGTGGACACGGTTCCACTGCATAATTTGCCTAGCATAGATGTATACATTATGTAATGAGATTATAGTGTAGGAAACTTTAGATTTGTATTGTTGTGTATATGACTGTAATCTTAGTTGTACTATAAACTCTTTATCTTACAAGCACCTATTGATATTTGGTAGTGGTAGTTTTTCCCTTACATGTTTCATTTGTTGTGAGATGTGTATCGTATGTTATCATGTGAAAGTATTGAACAAAATATTAATATTTATTATATTTATATAAAATACTTAATAAATATATATAACATATTTTGTATTATAACTTTGACATTTAATTACAAGATAATGTAAAAAGAAGACAATTGACAATGTAGTGAATATAATAAATTAATAAATTTGAAGGTAAGGAATCTTTGAATTGTACAAAATAAAGATAATATAACTAATGAAAAAATATCTCTTTTTAAATTTGTTATAATGTATATTTTTTTAAAATAAAGACATTATAGATATCTAATTCTAAATTAATTAAATGCATATGCATTATTATTTGTTGTAGCTACTAATTTAGTTAATTTAATTTAATAAGAGTAATAAAGTGTCGTACATACTTTTCATCTACAATAATGAAATTATTGATTTTTTTTTAATTTCCATTCGTTGTTGAGACAGATTGTTTTTTAAGTTTGTCAATGACAATTGCTACAATTACTGTCAATTGCTAATAAATAATTCAAAATATATGGTCACAATATATATTGTTATAATGATATAGTAAAAATTAAATTAACTTACAAATTTCTTTAGAAGTTTTCATACATTGATAATATTCTGATGTGTAAACTTATTCAATTGGGGCCATTGGGATGTCAACATTGTCAATTCTTTGAAAAATGACCGTATCGTTTTAGAGTCCAGGTGTAATTGTATTTATGATCAACAACTTTGTAGTTAGGTCGTGAAACTCTGACAATGATGTAAGAACAATTTCGTTTGATAAAAAAATAATAGTATAATATTTGTAAAGTAATGTACAATTGTATAATTATAAAAAAATGCAAAAAATATTAATACAATAATGACCTAAATCATTTCAATAATGTAAAAGCATAATTGAAATATTAAGTTTTGTTCTAAATACTCAAAAGAAGATTAATTAAACGTAAAAAAAAAAAAAAAAAAAAAACCCAAATTTGTTTTTTTTTTTTTTGTTTTTTTTTTTTGTTTTTTGTTTTTTTTTGTTTTTTTTTTTAAATCAAGAAAATCAAATGATTTTTATAGTTCCTGATTTATAATCTTTGATGCTCAACTTTGAATGCTATGTATTTAGTCTTAACCTAAATTTGTGTGTTTTTTTTTAAAAAAAAAAAATTAAGAAAATCAAATGATGCTCAACTTTGAATGCTATGTATTCAGTTGTGCTAATTTTTTTTTTTGAAAGTTACTGGCTCTATTACATTGTAGTATCTGTTCATATACTTTCTCAACCTATTGAAACACAAAGAACCAATAACGCCTCCACTGAGGCTTGAACTCGTAATCTTCCAAATGGAAGTCCAACCCGGGTACCATTAGACCACATAGTCCTGGTCAGTTGTGCTAATTAATTGACCAAAGTTTATCTTAAATTTTATATTATATATATTTTTAATACATTTTAACATATTCATAATATATGTTTAACAATTATGCCCATTCTAATTGGGATGAGGTTCGAACCTAAGACATTTCTTATATAAACTAGTTTTTTACGCGCATTGCACAATTGGGATAATGCCCAATATTTTTTTTAAAAATAATTACTTTAAAGTATATCAATGCAAGATTATATTGGAATTGTTCATGCATAGATAATTGAATGTTGAATTTGAAGAGCTAAAATATTAAATATATACTAATATTGAAGAGCTAACTACTGATTGTCAAACAAGGACATTGCGAGTTAGTTTTCCACTTCAACAAATCCCTCAAGTAGTTAATATGATTGGCTTTATTTATAATATTTTTTTAAATTTTTTCATGGTATTAATAAAATACTTGGTAAATAAATATATAGCATTATTTGGTATTATAACTTTGATATATAATTAAAAAAATAGTGCACAAAAAATATAATAGACAATGTAGTTAATATAATCAATTGATGAATTTGAATGTAAAGAATTTTTACATTGGAGAAATATAAAGACAATATAACTAATGAAATTATTTCTCTTATTTAATTTATTGATAATGAATAGTTTTTTTTTTTTTTTTTTTTTTTTTTTTTTTTTTTTTTTTTTTTTTTTTTTGAATAAAGACATTGTAGGGACAATGTAGAGATAAAATATAATTAATTGATAAATTTGAATTTTGAAGGTAAAGAATTTTTATATTTGAGAAAATAAAGACAATATAACTATTGAAATTATTTCTCTTATTTAATTTATTGATAATAATTTTTTTTTTTGAGTAAAGGTATTGTAGACACATAATTCTAAATTAAAGAAATGCATATGTATTATTTTTTTAATTTAATAAGAGTAAAATAGAGAATTATGCCAACTTTGATTTGGATGAGGTTCGAACCTAAGACCTTTCTTATTGAAATCAATGAGTAAGTTAACGGTGAACTAACAGAAAAGATAATATTTAACGGAAAAGTTAACGGATAATCCTATTCATTAAGGATAAATTAGGAAATCTGAAGGAAAAAATTAAAATTTGATCAATCTGAGCCATTCATTTGATTAAAAACTTTAACCGCCATTTTTTCTACCCATTATAGGCCTAACTCTCTTGGGCTCTTATTAGTATAGTAGATAGTAAATAGATAGTAGATTATTGAGTATGTTAAGAATAATAAATAGTTAACGGAATATTCCGTTACTAAAGTTTATAATAACGAAATTTAGGGTTATTCAAGGGAATAAAATAATATAAAAGAGGGTAAATAAGAACAATTATTAAAAATACTAAAATCAAAATAATATGAACCATTCCTTTTAAGAAACAAACTACTACCAACATTTTTTTTTCAGTTAAGGACTTAACGTTATTGGCTCTTATTAGATTTGTAGATGTAATGTAGATTTGTAGTGGTATATATGAGGGAAAACGACGCTTTTGACTCCTCAATTGTTTTACTTTTGAAAATTTAGCCCCTATCAATTGATTTGATCAAACCTAACCCTTAATTGTTCATAATGTAGCACATTTGGTCCCTCATGTTATATAATTAAAATTTTTTTTAATAATTTATATAATTTATTTATTCAAAATTTAAAATATTTTTTATTATAAATAAATACATAAATTAAAAATTAAAAAAGAAGAAGAAGAAGAAGAAGAACCGCCACCGGCTGTCCATGCCGGACAGTCGGTGGCTGTCTTCTTCATGGAGACGGTCTTGACCGACTTAGGAAGGCTGCCATGGCCGTCTTCAAGATCTGGAACGAGGGCTACGGCCTTCGCGCGCCACCATTGTTCTAGTCCCCTCCGTCTGGAACGAGGCCATGGTCGCCGCCCTCGTTCCAGGCGGAGGGGACTAGAACAAGGGCGGCGCACGAAGGCCGTAGCCCTCGTTCCAGATCTAGAAGACGGTCGTGGCCGTCCTGCCAGACAATCACGACTGTCCGTGAATAAGTACACGGCGCGGACAGTCGGTGGAAGTTTTTTTTTTTTTTTAAATTTATGTATTTATTTTATGATAAAAATATTTTTAATTTTGAATAAATAAATTATATAAATTATTAAAAACAATTCTAATTATATAACATGAGGGACCAAATATGTTATATTATGAGCAATTAAAAGATTAAGTTTGTCCAAATCAATTGATAGAGACTAAATTTCTAAATGTAAAACAATTAAAGGTCCAAAAACACCATTTTCCCTATAATATATTCTGTGCATAGCTCGGATGAATTGCTTCTTAATACGGAGTAATTCCTAACGCTGGCCTTAGAGTAAAAAGCTTTCACTCTTCTGGCCTCACGCTTTTCGCATTCCGCAAGTCGCCTACGCTTAGTAAGCTTCACAGCCTTAACGGAGTTCACAGTCTTCACATTGCTGTCGCTGCACAAGCACAACCACATCCACCGTCGTCCGTCGCCAGGAGCCCAGTATCCGCCTCGCCCTCGTCGGTCACAGCCAGCCATCGCCGAGTCGCCCGTCTTACCTTGCGATGGCCGATTCGCCGGTCACCGCCGGGCTCGCAGCGTCGGAACACCAAGCCTAAAACTGCTAACACTTTGCATTATCATCGGTGGGGCACTATTCCGTGTATCCGATCTCCAACTCGGAGAATATCTTACGGTTTAGCCCGCACTGAATCCTTAACCTCCCATGCACATTTCCAATCTTAGGTACACTCAGTAGAATGGCGATGGTTTTAGACGTGAAAGACGTGAGAGAATGGTCTTATAGAGGCGAAGGAGCTGTCAATCTGGTTCTTTCCTATCGCGGAACCTCTCCACATTTTGTACGTTTTCTTTCTCGTCTACTTATCCATAAAAGATTTGATTCACTCACACAGAGAGATTGAGTTATAGTTTATTTGGAGAGCACTTTTATCTGTATTTCTATATTACTAGGTAGGTTATTGTTCCATTTTAATATTGTGTAGGATGGTTTTGTATTGAAAGTATCTGCTCTTCTGTAGTTGTCAATCTTCAATTTTATCCGGAGTTTTGATAAAGATATACTTCGTGCTATTTTTCTACTTTTTTTTTTTTTTTTTTTTTTGGTAATCTTCTTATCTTTGTTTACATTTTATGCTGGGTTGAGGATGATGTAGACAAGAGATGCTGAAAAGTTAATGACTCATCATTGTTTAGTTAAAATATTGCCAGACTGATATTGTTGGCAAGTATTTCCCCATTTATCCAATCCATGCTCATTGAGTTATAAGGAAAAAATGTATGAGAGCAGAAGGGTTAAGTGTTGATCCTTACTTGAAAGGCTTTTCATGACTAGAAATTTACTAATTGATCATTTTTTGGGGGTTCTTTTTGGCTTTTGGTGCTTTCCTTGTCATATATCTGCTAGATTGTTAATTTGATCTATCCAATTACCTCTATCACTAATAAAAAAAATGGGCATTTCCAACTAGGCACAATAGAAGGGAACGGAAGGATACAGAAAAATTTAACAAATTCATTTGATAATATGATTGCTCTTTCTTCCCCCTTACAAAACCATCTTGGGTATATAACTGCAATTCTGCCCTTTCTTCTATGTAGGTTGGAAAAGTTTTGAGGATACAAAAGGTTCCAACAAATGGGTCTGAATATGAGAATGGTCATCCAGGTCTATCCATGCATGAAATCATCCTTTGGAAAGATGTGAAAGAGCTTGCATCAGCCCCTACTAGGGAGATTGCAGAGCACTTCTTTGTCCAGCATGTAATGTGCCCATTATTGGGTTCTGAGCATGTTGATGCTGGGGTATGTTACTGTAAATTTGTATCAAGTGCCAACATCCATGTCTCTCCTTGTGTATGCTTTTATTCTTGACACCTAAGCTTTGTTTTGTCCGTATTTCTTTGGAGTGCAACTATGACCATCTCTATAACTCATTTTCTTGAATACCATTCACTATATTGGTAATAATATTCTTTAAACTTGTTTATGGTATATACACTGAGCTAACCTGCATTCTTTAAAAAAAAAAAAGTAGAATTCTCTAAGGCATTGAATTTGAAAAATGAGTACTAGCTTTTTTTTTTTTTTTTTTTTGAAAGGAGTACTAGCTTTTCTAGTTATCTTCATGATTGGATTTCCGGTGCTTAGCAGCATGGTTAAAGGTCTTTGCTTATCTGTCCTTTGTATTGTCAGATTCGCATCCTTGTATCCAGAGAATTTCTAGAGGAAGTTGAAAAGAATGTCCTTCGCAAGCGCCCCACTTGGCGGGTTGATGCTGCTAAGGTCAACCTCAGGAGTGATTCTATTTTACTGATGTCTGATCATTCAATATTTCCCCATGGTAATAATGCTGTTTTCTCTTTCCTTTGGTTGTGAGTAGCTACCCATGGTATAACATTAACATAATGCTACTTGTTAATGAACATTTGAATTTATGTTATGCATTAGAGCTAAAATACTAAATATTCTCTGTAGTTTGTTGATCATAACCACTGCAATTAATCTAAAACTCCATGCCATCTCAAAGATGTACTTTAGAAATATTATGGAGTAAATTGTTTGTTGAAAAGTGCACAAATCCTTACCATATACAATTGTAACTATGTTTCACTTTACAAATCCAAGCAATAAGTTTTTGTTCTTGCAATATTGGCTAGCTCTTGCCTGTCATGGTTACAATGATGAAATATACTTTGGTATATTATCGGACATCTCAATCTGTGTCTGATCATTATGATAACTTGCATATCTCTCTTCCTTTCAGTTACACCTAAAGAGGAACTGTGCATATGCGTTGAAATAAAGGTGCCTTAAATGTTTTTGTTCATTATTCTTTTCTACCATAGTGTTGTAGTTGTTCTTTCTCTTCATTCGTCTCTAATTCTATAATAATACCTTGTTTCTTTTCCATTTCTCTGAATGTAGCCCAAATGTGGATTCCTTCCAGTTTCAGAATTTATTATAGAAAGTAATGCTCTTAAAAGGAGAACCACTCGTTTCAAGATGCACCAGGCTCTGAAGTTTCATCAAGGGAAGGTAATGAATACATCAATGCACCAAATAATGTTCTGAATTTTTTTCCCCATGAACTCTACCTGATACATGATTGGCACCTTTTCTTGTGTTTATTTTCTCTGTTGACCATCTTAAGTCCATTATTTAGTCTTAATCATGCTGCCCCCATTTTTACATTAATGCGTTTCTTATGATTTGTCTTTTACAATCCTTTCAGATATCATATATAAGTGGATATGATCCACTTGATTTGTTTTCTAGGTCTAAAGACAGATTAGACAAAGCAATCAAGGATCTTTTTATGACCCCACAGAATAACTTTCGAGTTTTTGTGAATGGCCGTCTCATATTCGGGGGCTTGGGTGGTGGTGCAGAATCTACAAATTCTAAAGCTGGTCAGGCATTTGAAGATGCACTCAAGAATATAATTTTTGCAAAAGAAGAAGGGATGCGTACGGAATTTTTTCTTGAGCTCATTTCTGAGGCAGTTTTCAGTTCAGGATTGCTAAATCGACTTCTTGAAGTCCAGAAGCTTGATATTTTTGACATTGAGGGTGCAATTCATGTGTATTATAATGTTATTTCTCAGCCTTGTATGGTTTGCAGAGATTTAGGCAATGACTTGTCAAAAAGGTTTAACACCTTGCATTCTATTTCAATGGAAGAAAGTTGGAAGATAGTGAGGGACTATTTAATAGCTGCTACTGCAAAGGACTTGAGTATGATGATTAGTTTTAGACCTCGAGAAGATGGGAAATCGGAATCTTCATATAGTCTTGTCTCCTTAAAGTCCACCAACCAAAATTTTGATTACAAGGTATGTCATATTTCTCTTCTGCAATTTGGATTTTATAAATCTGAATTGAAATGGGATTTGTAAACTTCTGTCATCAAAATTCTAGACACCCAATTATTTCAGTTTGCCCTATAATTGAAAGTCTGAAACATAGTCTAAATATTTGAGGGTAGAGGGTAAGCAAATAATTACATTACCCATGGAACAACAAATCCAACAGGATGTAGCATGTTGTCAGGGAGAAAAATTACTACGTATTAATCTATCAAGGCTACCAATGATGAAAAAGGTTTCACTTTTGAAGATATGCAGCAACATGCAGGTTTCACTTCATTATCTGAAAGAAGTCAAAGAACTCATTAAGTGAAATGGTTCAGCATCATAAGTTTTCCAGTGCCAAGGTGTTTTGTCATTTCTGTATGTAGTGGTTTGCTCATTTGAGTTTTATTTCTTGTCATACATTCATAGCATACTGGTTACTGTGTTAGAAAATAATTGTGAGTGTCCACTTGATCATGTTGCCCTTTTGGAATTATGCTGTATAGTTTCGTTTATTGTTGTATTGATGATCATTATTGCTGCAAATTGTTAGGCATCTTTCATTGACCTGGACCTGAAACCTCTAAAAAAGATGGAGTACTACTATGAATTGGACAAGAAGATAGTCAGCAGTTATGTAAAGATGGTAAATTCAGGAAAGGGAATGGCTTGTTCAGATTAATTCATTGCTGCAGAAGATACTGTGCACGGAGATGTTCTGGTAACTGATTGAAATGTTTGGAGCATATTCTTTAGTAACCTTGATGATTTCTCTGATTCTTCCTGTTTGTGTTTGTTAATTGAAGTTTTATTGGTTGGGGAAAGGGTCCATTTATAAGAGTAAAGAGACATGATGAATTTGAACCAAGAAATTCTGGGGATTCTGATATTATAAAGTAAAACACAAAGGAAAGAAAACAAGGGAATTTTAAGAATATCCCTCCAACAAGAATAAATTCTTGCCCTCTGCTACTTAGGGCTAATTGTTCCAATTCTGCTGGATGCCCTCTCTTCTAAGAGGGGGTGTCCCTATTTATAATGTATTACCATTACCATATGTAAAATAAGGAAGGAGCATCAATTATTTATTACATAATCAATCAATCAATCCCTAATTATTTATTACATAATCAATCAATCAATCCCTAATTACATGCTCTATAAAATAAGCAAGGAATTATATAATCAGTCAATCCCTGATTATATGCTTCCTTGAATTTTGCCACATGAATGATTATTTGATTACTTTCCTTTCTTTCCTGCTTGATTTGTATCATCCGATCCATGGCCAAGGAAGGAAAATGTGAATATTCAAGGAAGAGCAATCTATATACAATTAAGTTTAACCTATAAATCATGTTTTGACTAATTTAAATACAACTACCAATATGGCTTTGGAAAATCATTGCTTTACAAGAGGTGTAGTTAGAATAAATATACATTGAAGGTGCTTTCATTGCTTTAAGGAGAGGCGTGCAAAATAGGTAGACATATGGAGGCACAAGAGAGAGGAAGAAGCAGGAAGTGAACATGAAATTCCATCCTCAGGGAAACATTATTTTCTTTATTAGAAAAGATGCTGTTCAGTTATGCAATTTAGGCGGTCCTCATTAATCAAAGATTCTGATCTTTCCTTTGCTCTCTCATAATTTGTGCAAATGAATGACTTCCTGTAGAAAAGGTAACAGTTTTTTTATACAATTGGATGGATTTGGGGTTCCCTTTGCTTGAAACTTGCTAATCCAAGAATACTAATTCCATTACTCCAATACATTCTCAATTTCTTGATTTAAGTTACCAGATTTTAAGGAAAGAGTTAAGTTAATTAGTTATTTCCTTTATTAGAGTAGGTTGTATATATGCCTGCTGTAATCTCCATTAGTTTATGCAAGAATTTCAGAATTTCATCCAGCATTTTTGTGAATGCTTAGAGGAACTGGTATTGGAGGTTGTCTCATTTAGTTGCATTATTTTAGTGGCTATCTGTGGGCTCTTATTTACCTAGACTAGACTAGACTAGACTAGAAAGCAGTCCTTTTCTGCCTTCCAAAAATAAATTCAGAGAGAGAAGGTTAAGAGAGGGAATTTGCTGTTTATCATGGGACTTTGTCTGGTATGGCCTCCCAAATAGTAGGATGTTCTTTACTTTTTAGCTCATTTATAAAAATGTTGTGCATAAACACATCTAAAATTTATTGAAGGTTTGAAGATACAGTTAGAATGTGTAATTGAATTATTGAACCAAGAAGTATAATCTATTTGGTAAGTCTTCTGTCACAAGGTACAAAATTACTTCATAATTGCATTTTTTTTGGGAGATATAGCTGGAAGAGTCTGATGGTTCAGCATGCTTCTCTCATTTAAAACTCTCAATCCGAGGAGTTCTTGCCTCAAGCAAAATGGATACATGGAAAAGCTACGGGGTCTTGCTTCAAAGTCAGGAGTATTCTGTACTTGAATCAGCAAGGTACATGACTACTACTAATATTTAAGCTAAAAACACATTGTACATAAGCTGAAAGTGTTTTAGATAAAAATATTCTCATGAGTGTAAAATGCTTGCCTGAATAGCCATCTAGTTTAAACATAAATCTGATGGCTTCAATCATAATTTGCCCTTCTCAGTAGTGTCACTTAAGTTATTGGCCTGGACAATAAAATAAGTCACTCTGGTTTTGCATTAAAACTTGATATGAAATTACATCTTTGTTATTAAGCTGAGGAATATACATTTTGTTGGCAAAATTATTTAATCTAAAACAAGTTAACTATTTAAGTGAAGTTTCCACTTGCAAGTAGAGACAAATATACACGCTGTGATATTCTGGTAGGTGGGGTTGGAGGGAACAGAATGGCGGCAGGGTGGGGGAAGAAACTAATAAATGTAGATGTTAGCAATAGGTTATACCATGAAGAAAAATTCAGACAATGCATTTACTTCTATTCACCAACTACCACTGACATTCCATTTAAGTGTCGTGCCAGACTGTTAAAATGATTCTAGAGAGAACAAACTACTACTTAAGAGAAGTGGTTAACAATTTACCATGAGCATAACTGAGAGAGACCGACATAAAGCAATTTATATATAAAACAACCTATAAATAAACTTCAGAACATCATAAAGCAGTTTCTTGGACATTCATTGCTTTTGACATCATGTCATTGCCTTTAAAGGTTCTAGAATATTACCTTTTTTTTTTTTTTTTTTTTTTTTTTTTTTTTTTTTTTTTAAGTGGAATACTTTGTTGTGTAATTTTTATGTCTATTTAGACATTTTGTGATTATTTCTGGTTCCATACTGACAGCCTGCAGTACGCGTACAGTTCATTTAAATGACTAAGTCAAGAAAGGTCCAAGGAAACCAACTCTAATTTTTTTGTTGCAGAAAACAGTGGTGTCAGTGGATCTTCGTTGTTTCAAGTGCAGATTGAAGGTGATGAAGTTAATATCAAGAGTAGAAGGGATTAACTCTATTGTCTTTGATGTTGTTAAAAGTACAGTGACAGTAATTGGCGAGGCTGATCCAGTATGTATCATCAAACAAGTTAGGAAATTCAGAAGCTCTGCACAAATAATAAGTATAGGCCCTCCCGAGCAGGAAAAGAAGAAAGAAGAAAAGAAAGATGAGAAGAAGGATGGTAAGAAAGATGAGAAAAAGGATGCTGTTTGTTCTCTTCCCAGTACTACTTGTCAGAGATGTCATGTCTGGTATGTGATAGGGGAAGATCACTATAGTCATTGCAACATCTTATGATCAAAATTTCTTATACTTTTCTGTTTATAAATCTCCATCTATGGCTATTTGTGATGTGAATCTATCATTGTGCAACAATTCTTTGCCACTTGCATCCATCGTCACATAATATAAATATTTCTGCTTTAGAATTTAGATACATCGTGCCAAGTTGCTCTAGTTGGAAGCTATTGTCTCTGACTAAAATTTCTGCTTGTGAAATTGCTGCATTTAGTTTCATGATACTGCTCTTGTTTACAATTTGGTGGTGACACAATAATAGTTTATATAATGCAGCAATCTCTGATTTTGTGGTCATTGAGTTCTTTTGGATTAAAAACCATTAAAAATGTTAAGATAGGAGTAGAAGTTCAACCAATGACTAAATTATAGGTTTGGGTGGGTTGGGATTAGTTTTGAAAGTATTATTCGTTTGTTCTATTTTATTTGTCATATTTATTATATATATATTGGTCAAACATTCTCTATCTTCTTTGTTTATGTCTATTAGCATTTTTTTTTAATAGTATTTTTAATTTTTAATGTAGTTTTTAAATATATAAATTTTACATACTAATTCTAAACTTAATATTATGAAAAATTAAATTATAAATAATTTCAGTCAAAGTATTGGTAACTGAACTTGACACATAAAATGGGATGGAGGGAATACACTTTTAGAAAAATTGCACTTTCTTTTCTAAGTTATACATAAGTTTTAACTCAGTCCTTTAGTTATGATTATATGTATCTTTCAATTATGAACGAAGTGGTGAGTTTTCGGTTTTGGTCTCAACTTGGTAGAAAATTCAAACACCTTATATTATTAGAATGATAAAGTAGGAAATTCACATCTTATTCTCCTTATATTAAATTATTTTTGTAACATTATTTTTTTTATCTCTGACTTGGTAGGACCCTAAGTGTCGTATTAGAAACTTAAGAGTTAGTACGAATAAGGGAACACTTATCACCGTATTTAAGTGTGTGAAACACACTATTTAAAAAAAAAATTCAGATTGTTTTTATGATAAATTCTCCAAGTGAGGAACCCTCTGAGAGGCTCACGGGAATGCTCACTGCATTCCTTCGAGAATCGAGACAGTCGTAGCCAAGCTCTGAGCCTATTGGTGCTAGCATGGTGGTTAACTGGTTACGATACTGGGATTTGGGGATACACGGCTAGCCTTGGACCGGAGCTGGGAAATGAAGCCTCGATTAGCAAGTAGCTTCCGCCTTCCCGTTCTACCCAATATGCCTCGCTTGCCCAAGCCCAAAGGCCAGTTTGAAGAAGGTCTGTTAAAAGTAAACGAAACTGTCGTGTTCTAAATTCTAATGGTCGGGAAATGTTATTATATCATGGACCAGGTTCAAATAGCATTATGGAACTTGGATTGAAACGACGTGTTATAGAATTTATACTCATAAGATACAAAATTTCATAATACAAGACACAAAAAACCGTAACACAAAACACATACACATGTTATATATTTTACTTATTTTTCAAATCTAATTTAGATACATAATTTGTGTTGATAGGCACAAAATTTCATAACACAAGATACACACAATTACTAATTTGTTTTAGGTACAAAATTCATACATTTAAGGGACAGAATTTCATAACACGAGATACAAAAAGTCACAACACAAAACACATACACATGAACCAAGATCCACAGTGTAGCGTGAACCCTAGTCCATGGTATAAGGATTGGCAATTAACCCAGAGAACCGAGGAATGGAATGGAAGTTGAAGAAGCATTATAGGCCGGCGACTTTACTCATCCTTTCTAAGCAACAAAGGGTAATCAAATCAGATCTTTTGAGATATAAAAATATGTCAAAAATTTCAGATTGTTTTTATGATAAATTCACCAAGAAAGTAACTTGAGATTTTCAGTTGTTGGGCATCAGTCGTGTTGGCTGAGTTTAGCCCCTACTCGATTTGGGACGTGACGTTGTGGCTTACTATAAAGGGATGTGGTTAAATGGTTAATGTTCACATACTTATTACCAATTGGTTTTAAGTAGGATCGAATATGACAACCAGATAACCAAAGAACTATGTGGTTAAGCGTGTTTGACTTACATCAATCACAGGATGGAGTGTGCTGAGATCCATCACTAGTAGGGGTGTATTCGTTCCTGATTTTCATTGGCTTTTATGAACTTTAAAAGTTTAGAAGAACTCAATTCAAATTTTTAGGGAGTCTTTAAAAGTTGGGCAGCATTCGATTAAGATTTTTAAAAAATCTTTAAAAGTCGGGTGATATTCGATTACGACTTTTAAAGAGTCTTTAAAAGTCGAGTGCTATTAAAAAAGTTGTGAACTCTTATAGACATTTTTATTTGAGGACTTTTGTATACTTTTCCCTCAAATATAAATAGTTGAAATCCATCCTCAACTTCAAGATTTCTAAACTTTCTTCCTTGCTACCAACTCTGAATGTTTTCTCTCTATCTAAACTCTATTTCTTTTCCTCCCCATTTTTAAACTTTGTAAACCTTAACCTAATTTAAATTCAATAGATTATTTTTTCTTCATGCTTAAACTCTACAAACTTTTTCTCTCTCCTAAACTTTACAAGCTTTTTCTTTCTCTAAAAATTCTACACATTATTCTTTTCTTCATTATTGTTTGGATCTTCCTAATAGAGGACACTAATAGGTAAAAACACAATTTAGTATTATGTTTTGAGTATTATCGGAGTATTATTTTCTTGCAATATTATATCAATTAGTGAAATATGATATTACCTTTATATATAGTTGAAATTCATTCCTCCGTCTCCAAACTTCTAAACTCTCTCTATGAATTTTTTTCTCTAACTTCTAAACTTTCTCTACCAATTAGGCTACCCATTCTGAAGACAATTCCTTATCCCCTTATTGTGCAATGCACAATTTTCCATGGGCGCATGATGTAATGGAACAATTATTTAGCGACTATATTTGAGAGGGAAGACAACATAGAAATACTTAGTAACGGTGGGAGTAGGGGTGCAAATGAACCTATATAGTATAGAGTTAGATCGATATCAGGGACGGAGCCAGGATTTGTTGGTGTGGGGGGCCAATATTAATTTGAAAGAGAATAACGATGAACTGAGAATAATTAACTCCATAACTTGATGGTAAAACTTCTCTACCAACTTGCAAACGTCATCAATTCTGAATGATATATATACACATCTCTTTTGGATCTAAGTCATCTAACGATGAATTGAGAATAATTAACTCCATTGTTTTATCATCAAACCTATATTGTTGACGTTTGCCTCCTCCTTCCAGTCATGGAGGAGGCAACCGCCGCCTCCTTCCAACCTGGAAGGAGGCGACGAGGCCACTTTCCAGAACGTCACTGGCGACGAGTGGGCAAAAATTTAAATTAAAAAAAAAAATAAATTTTTTTACCTGTTAACCTGTTGATTACCTGTAAATAGGTCTAATTGTACAACTTTAAAGAGTTCAAGGGTGTAATTGAACATTTTTAATGTTTGAGGGCCTAATTACTTTTTCATCAAAAGTTAAAGGGTCTATTTGATCATTTTCCCTTAAAAATATCAAATTTGTAATGATGCCCAATTGTTAATTCATCTTGCTGATGCCTAGACCTCCTCTTCTTGCAATATATTTAGTATCAAAATTCGGCACAATTATGTTACAGTTTCACAAAAAGACTTCACACTTGCAACTAATTCATCTCATCCACTATCTCTTAAATTTTGAATAAGCAACTTAGTAGATGACACAAGATGCATTGCAATCAATAGTAAAATTGTTCATTATTATGAATATATAGTTCAAAATTTATGAACATATAGTTGTGAACATAATTATGAACATATAATTTTGTAATTATGAATATATAGATTCAATAATTGTGAATATGAAGTTCAAAAATTATGAAATATAGCTTTATAATTATGAACATATAATTCAGTAATTATGAACATAAGAGTTCTGTAATTATAAATATAGAGTTCAATAATTATGAATATAAAGTTCTAAAATTATGAATATATAGCTTTATAATTATGAACATATAATTCAGTAATTATGAACATAGAGCCGTATTTACCTTGCAAGATGGACACAATTCCACAGCATAACGATTAATACTTTGGTGAAGGGGGCTAAAATATATATATATATATATATATATATATATATATATATATATATATATATATATACTATTAATATTTTTTTGGGGAAGGGGGGGCCAAAGGCCCAAGACACCCAGTTAATAATTCCTCTAAATTCTCCAAAGGCTTCACTCATATTAGTATTATTAATTTTTTTTTTTTGAGAGGGGGGGCTACAGGAACAATGTGCATCCGTCCCTGATCGATATGTCTTAGCAAGTCAGCAATATGTTATGCATGAGGTCCGATAAGATATTATTACAAATGTTATATCGGTGGATTGTAATCAATGAGGAGGTTCTACATATTTTATTTTATGATAAAGATATTTACTAAAATGATTGAAATAGTTGTAATTTATTTAGTAATATGTTTTTATTAATTTTGCACATTTAGTATTAGTGTATTAAATTTATTTTTATCTAAAAATAGAAATTGAAAAATGAAGAAATGAAAAACCAGAAAAATAGAGAATGAAAATTAAAACTTAGAGAAATGAAATACTGAAAAAATGAAGTAAACAAAGAAAATGAAAACTGGAATTAATTAACAAATATGAAGGTAGTCTTGAACATCAAAATCCACCTACTGGAAGTAGTCTGGAACATCAAAATCCATGCATGCAACTAACACCACTCTTCAAATAGAGACAAAGCCATCTATCCTCTGAACATTTCCAAAGTTCCAATACGTTCCAGCCATCCTGAAAAATTAGTGGAATTAACTGTTACTGTTAAACCCATAGACGTCTAGAAATGAATTAAAGTTTGGGTGGAAATGAAATATTGATAATCAGTTATGAATTCATTTATCTTATATTTGTTTTTTGATACTAAACATATGTAAAGGGGTGGTGGCGCAGTTGGCTAGCGCGTAGGTCTCATAGCTTCTGAGTTATCCTGAGGTCGAGAGTTCGAGCCTCTCTCACCCCATTGTTTTTATCTCCCCCCTAAACTGCGAGTGCATGCATGTAAGAAGGCAGTCGAGCCTCTCTCACCCCAT